TATATATGTATATATAGAGAGAGAGAAAGAGAGAGAGAGAGAGAAAGAGAGAAAGAGAGAGAGAGAGGAAGAGAGGGGGTTATATTAAAAAGTTATATATGTGTGTGTATTCATATACACACACACACAATGATTTGTCCTTAAGTGCAGTTCGAGTAGCCTAAATGTACTTGCCCTTGTAATGTAGCTGCAATGTGCGAACAGTGATGAGCAAACTTGGATAGTGATACCGGTATTAACCACAAGAGAGTGCCAGTGGAACAGTACGTTTTCCATAAGAATGTAAAACACTGAATTCATATTGCAGAATAGGAGGGCTATTTTTAGCATACTAATCAAAAAGGCACTATAAGATACGCCGGTAACCCAGGTAAATATAAAGTCTAGCAGCGTATTAAAAATAATACGTAGTCATAGGACTATATATAAAAAATGTAATACTTCAGCCGGAAGCGCTTTGCGCCTGCTCTGACGATGGCACTTTTATTTTGTAAGCGTAATACCCGTTCTTCCGGTCTGATGTGCGCTTGATCAGTCCATCAGTGGCGTTGCGCTCAACGTGGGCCAGGTGACGGAGATGATTTACGTTCACACACTGTTGCGCCTTCCAGGATACTCGGAATAACAATGGCATCTGCAACTTCAGCTTTCACTGCTTTGTAGAAAAAGTGCTTTGGGTTTTTTCTTTTTTACTTTTATTTTACTCTTCACTGTGCGCAGTAATTAAATTGTCAATTGGCAAGCGGCGAAGAAGTTGGACGTCATTTAACATTACTGAGGTGAATGCGGTATTAGTTCATTTTCTTCATCCTTGATATTCATTTTTATAGCTTTAACAGTTAGCTGGTGTGTGATGTTTGCTGTTAGGAGGACACTGAGGAGCTGCTAAGAAGTGCTCACACTACAGTCAAATGTGCCAGTTTGCTTTTTAGAGATGCTAAATAACCTAATTGAATAAGGAAGGATGTCGTAAGGATGTGACATTTTGCGGAACACCTTGCGTGCAGGGTGAATTATCAGCCGGAAGGTTGTGTGTGTATATATTAAATATGAAAGAGAGTTGCTGTTTTACTGTTTACATCTATTTCATGTTTTAAGTTCATCAGTCTCTAAATGATTATTGTTTACAGTAGCTATGCACTACGTTTCTGTTGGCTTCTTAGGCACGAATATGGCAGACAGGACATGTAATTAGACTTAATGACTGAGTGCACAGTTCACTGCTATTAGCAAGTATGAAGCAGCTTCCGTGCTGTTTTGGTCTTCAGTCAGTCTCAACCTGTCATTTCTACCAGGCTTTTTCTGTTCTGTCCTCCTGCAGAGAAGTGGCACAGGTGTGGATGTGCAGTGTGACAGGGGTGTGAACGTCTTCAGCAGGGTCAGCAGGGTGCTACCAGAGACCTGGATAAGGCAGTCTTTGCATCATCCATAATATAACCTTACTAAATGCGCTCATACATCTAGTGCTGCTTCACTCTTTTACGCACAAAGTGCAACACTCAACTGGAGGTGATGAGATCTTAATAGCAGCTTCAGGTAGTTTATAGCCGCAGTAAATATCAGCAGCTTTTTGGACATTCAAAAGATGTTCTTCCTGCCTGCAGTCTTAAGAGTGGTTCTGATGATCAGTCTTGACGATTATAGGCACATTTGACAGGATGTTCTGCTTTAACATCTGCCTTATGGTTTATCTAAGTAGTGGAATGTTATGTCCTATCAGATGTTTTTGTTTACAGTTTTATCCACTTGGGAAAAGGCATTGTAATCCTTTTAAAATTCATTAATTCTATTTTTTTGTTTTTTGTCTTTTGCATTATCTTTTTAAATTTAGGATCCTTTATCATGTCTTGTGTTTGCTTAACCAAGACTTAAACTATGTGAGGAATGTAGCAGGAGTCAACCGTCTACGTATGGTCTGTTCAGGACACCATTAAAACCACTTGCTTGATGGGCTGCCACTGTTGATAAATATGGTAAATACAGGATTAAATAACTTGTGGTGAATGAATGCATTAAAAGTATTTCAGCCAGTCAAAACAAGCTTTTCACCACCTATGAATGACTGAGTAAGTGAATGAAAATATTGCACTGGCATTTTCAGTAGATCACCACTACCAGTGTGACATCACGGGAGCAGAGCGGGAGGAGCACGCTGGCTACGACACAGTATCTTAGCAACAGACAGCATCCTTTTAGCATTCCACTCTGAGGACAAAACCACCTTTATGGACACAAGGTGCTGTGCTGTTTTTGTCCCTAAAGCCTCTAGGAACTTATTTCAAACATATAAGTTAATACTGAGAAGAACACATTAACCATCAAAAATATTACTTTTTTTTTTTATCACACGCAGAGTGCTTCACACAATGTGTGTGTGTTGTCTCTCTGTCTCTTCCACTCCTATGGCTGCACCATTTTGGACATTCTGCAGTGGCTTTGATCTGGCCTCAGGACCGTGTGTGTGATATTCATAATGTGATATAGGATTTCCTTGTGGTTCCCAGAATGCTGCTATGACCTGCACTTAAATTAACCTACATGGCCGAGGCCTTGTATTTTGAGTGTGTGTGTGTGTGTGTGTGTGTGTGTGTGTGTGTGTGTGTTTGTTTGTTAATTCAAGCTCAGGGGGTATTTCTAGCCAAAAAGATCATTAGACTAATTAAAGTGAAGTCCTTAGGGCTTTAAAAACCACAGGTCGCATATTTTAATTGTGATATATTTAGTATTTAATTTATTGATTATTTTGTCAGCCCTTGCCTATATTTTTTCCTTCGTTTTTGATATACATACATGATAATTACATGATAACTACATGATAATTCTGGAAAAAGTTAATATTGAATTGTTATCTAAATTCAACAAATTTCAACCTCTCTTGCAAAATCATTTTGTAATAATCTACTTCTATAAGCCACTCATATCTGTAGGGAACTATACTCTCTGCCTGGAAACAGAAATGCACACATACTTGTGTGTTGCTAGCATCTTATTTTCTTTCTGCAGTATGTTTTTTTTTTACCAATAAGTTATGATTTTTTTGGCTGTGCATATAACGTGTAGCATATAACTGTTCCTGTAAAGTGTTATGTCATATAAGACCCAAAAAACTGCATGTTATCCCTGACACCAGCCGTCACCGTGTATGGAACATCAACCAGTACAGTACAGTTTATTTTTACTTTTGTGAACTTATCATCTTTAAGTCATCTTAAGCATTAAGTCATCTTAGTCAGTTCATTACATCAGTGCAGCAGATATTTTGGCTTTATGTTGACCTGTTTTGTGCAGCTCATTATGGGTCAAAAGTTCTTTCAATGACATTTTAAATATTTACAAAGGAGGCACTTCATCTATACAAATTCATCAGTACCTTTTTAAAACAATTTATTTTTTGGCAATTTTCAAGGTACCATTATAGACAGTAGAGAGATGTAGGTAGCTGTATATTAGTAATGAGCTCCTTTTAATGTTTGATTATGCTACTACTGTACTGTACACCCTGTTGGTGGCATGGCAACTATGATCCTTCCAAAATAAGTTGTAATAAATTTTGTGGTCCCCTGACTGAATCTAGCAACATCATCTGGTCAGATTTGAATTTATTCAGTACAGAGGTAGCACAGTATATTATATAGAATAAAGTACTATGGCCTCTGTACTCTCTCACATTATTATTATTGTGTGTTATCGGAATAATATTACTGATGCAGTCACATGTAAGCAGCATATTGATGATGTGGCTGGCTCCGGTGGAGCCAGTTTTTTATATTTTATATACTGTTAACTCATATTATGTATTGCATAAGAATGCTAATAACTGTAGCTGTTAAATAAGTGGAGCCCAGTAAAAAGCACAGTATTCTCCACTGAAATTGAGCGTAGAAGTCTAGCAAAATCTAAACAAAAAACAAACAAACAAAAAAGTAATGATTAGCTGGTTAATTGAAAATTGAAAAGACAAATAATGGCCAACTATTTTCATAAGGTAATCAGTTAATTGTCATTTATCCAGAATATTGCCAAAGGTGTGATAGTTCCAGGTTCACAAATTTGCTGCATTTCTCAGTCTAACATTGAATATTTGGGGGTTTTGGCTGGTTCACCAATAGCAGGACATTTATTTACATCATCCTGGGGTTGAGGACATGAACATTACTGTTTTCAAATGTTTTTGGCAAAATAATTTAACAATTAATTATCAAGTTAATTTATACTAAAAAATATAATTTGCTCATAAACCAAAGTAATGGACTGGGGTTGTAACAAACAGCAATACAGATACTTTGTGCAAAAATATGAGGGAAAACAGATGGATCCAGACAGCAGAAACTGATGGAGAAGAGGAGATGCAAGGTGTATCTATAACAGCTTGCCGCTTTTAGTAACAACATATGGTGCCACCGTGGTCACATAGCCTACTGTGAAGGGACATTTCTGCAACCCAGATACTGAACTGCTGTCAGTGGGGCTGTATCCACACTACATACAGACAGGATCCCTTTACATACCATCTTGGTTGTTGTTTACATCTCTCCTCCCAACAACCCCATATGAAATCAACTCTAGCTAAAAGTTGTTCTTATTTGATTCTCATGGACTCAGGCATGAACAGAGCCGTAGATCACATTTGACTACTATAGGCTGAGGGAGAAGTCAACTGGGTATTATTTAAACTGTTCTGGTGATAATGTAGTTACTCACCATGTCCCCTGTTGAAGATAAAATATACATTTAACCTACTACTGAATCTTTTAACATTGGAATCAATTCTAGAACAGGAAACTCTGGGTTTGGAAGTATCGATATTTCACATCAAATTCACATCAGCCTCTGCTGTTATTTCTGTCAGTTCTAAGTAACAAATATTATAGGGTAGCCAAAATGGTGACTATGGTGAATATTGTACCAGCTTGACATGCTGTGAACATGTTAGCATACTGATGTTTGCATGTAGCTTGAAGCACCATTGTGCCTCACTGCTGTTAGCATGGCTATAGACTGCATCTAATATCTACATTCATGTATGGATCATATTCACAGTAAAATTTGCTGTTTGGCTTTACTTGTTATACCAGTTAGCAAACCTGTATTTTTTTTTCTGAGTCTGGTGCCAGCCACCATTCGGACAACTAATGTCGTCCAAATGTTCAAAACGTGTAACTTTGCTGTTTTAAGGTTTCAAGGGACACCTAAGTCAAGAAACAGCCACTGTGGGATGGTGCGTGGGTATGTATGAAACAGAAGTTTATTCTGCTTATTTCTTTGTGATATATCTTTCCTCCAGGGTGATCACTTGTGACCTCAGACCATGGCCTATACTCTGGGCTCGGCCACGGAGATCAGGACACACAGTGTAGGACCTCAACACTGCATCACTCGGGTGGAGCTTTCTGTTACTGCAGCCAACCTGCTGGACCGAGATGTAGCGTCCAAATCAGACCCCTTCTGCGTTCTGTTCCATGAGGTGGATGGAAACTGGGTCGAGGTAAGGATGGTGGGATCATGGAACAAGAGGAGTGTGGTGGATGACCTTTTAGAGAAAGGGACAGGAGTGAAGAAGAAGCATGTTTTGTCTTGAGATGCACAATGAAACTGGCAGATTGAGGAGAAAAGGCTGAAGACTTAAATAATATATTAGTGTTCAGATTTCACACCCCTTTCTGGTGCCTCTCCACATTGTGTTTATTAATTCCAGGGAGGTGAAGAGAAGGGAATAAAAGGGAGGAAGGAATAACAAGAAAACTGAAGGGAGGATGGAGGAGTTGGAAGTTACTTCCAACATTACGTCCACCATGGGTGGCTCTTCCAGCAAAGGATAGACCAGAGGATTTTGTTGGTCATTCATGTTTCTTTGCAGACAGTATAGATTGTGAGCTAGATTCATAGTCATGATGTCTTGACCATCTGGTATCTGACACACTGAGCCCAGTAGGAAATTGCAAAATTTGCAAAAATTGCTCCAGGTGGTATGTTAGTCTGAGATGTAGACCTAAAGTACTGTACCCCAGGTAGGCCTTCTGCTAAAGACATTAAAATATTGAGTGCTTCTGCGATGTCTTAACAATTTTATATATATACATACATAAGGTAGGACAGAAATGCCAGCAGAAGGGTCTGACATAGACCATATTTGGAAAAGCATGGGAAATGGAAAACCAGCGCTAGTGAGGAGATAGGACATTTGAAGACACTTTGATTTTAAACTATAGAGTTTATCATTTATACAAACAGGACAAAAATTGCACACCTCAACATTTTTATTTTCTTCATGATTTGTTTATGTATACTGTTGACTACTACATGACAAGGATATTTAGTAACAACATATGGTGCCACCCTGGTCACATAGCCTACTGTGAAGGGACATTTCTACAGCCCAGATACTGAACTGCTGTCAGTGGGGCTGTAGCCACACTACATACGCACAGGATCCCTTTACATGCCATCTTGGTTGTTGTTTACATCCCTCCTCATGCCTTCAGCATCTGTTGGTATTATTTATGTACTGCATGAACTGTAGTCATGGGAGGCATGATGATGCAGTAGTTAGCACTGTCGCCTAGGGTTCTGGGTTCAAACTTGATGGCCAGCTGCGGGGCCTTTCTGTGTGGAGTTTGCATGTTCTCCAGGTTTTCTGCAGGTACTCTGGTTTCCACCCCCAGTCCAGAGACATGCAGGTTGGGTCTGTTGGTGACTCTAATTCCATGTTTCCACTATTGGAACCTAACGAGCGGTATACCCCAGTACTTCCCTTAACCATCACTTAGCATAGCCTCTGGGGTTGATGTGGACCATCCTGCTTTGTTTTTACACTGCATTTTCTCTCTGTCAGTCTCTGTTTAGAGGAGGGAGGGGCTGCTGCTCTCTCACACAAGCAGTCTGCTGTCTGTTTACATACATAGCAGCTCTGCACGCACACACCTCCTCACATTACTGGCACTTGATTTTAATACTACTTCCTGAGGGGTGCTGAAATTTAGCTTATAGAATGCACCTCCAAAGTGGGCGCACTGTAGTGGAAACAAACACAGACCTTGTGATGAGTGTTACTTGGCGCAACACATTTTGGTAGGTTCCTATAACAGAAAAGCCCCTTAAGTTACCTTTAGGTGTGAAGGTGAGTCTGTCTCTGTGAGTCAGCCCTTTGATAGACTGGTGACCTGTCCAGGGTGTACTCCACCTCACAGCCAGTGTCCGACTCACCTACAGCCCTCAAGGATAAGCAAATATTTATAATGGATAGATGAATTATAATTACTAGTATCACAGTGTGCAGTAAACATGATGTTGTAGTTTATTCCAGGAATGCTAGACAGGTAAAAGAAAATGTTTAAGTAAAAAAAATCTGTAAAATGATATAAATAAATCTGTTTTTGGCAAAATTCTTTATTCATTTGAAGTACTGCATATGACTATTAATGTAAAACCATATTTCCCATAATACCTGTTGCATTTTGGTAGTGTAGGTAGGTAGGTAGGTAGGACTTTATTGATCCCACAATGGGGAAACTCCTGTGTTCCAGCAGCAATAGAGAGCAGCAACAAGTGTAGTGTGTAACTTATGGGAATCAACATTTTCTAATAATAAAGGTGGTTTTTGCTTTTAGTGTAATGTCAACTTACAGTTTGATTTGTTCACGTTGTTTATGCTGCATTTACAACTAGCAAATGTTTACTTTCACAGAAAACACAGTAGTTAGTCATGTGAGGATTAAAAATACTGTGCAGTGACAGTAGAGCTCTGTTGTGCCACTGGTAAAAAAAGGAAATCTAGACATAGTACTGTGTATGGCTCTCCCACTCTTCCCAGTCCCAGAAATAGCCAGCAGCACAGAGACAATCAAAGTTTAGAGCAGTTTCATTTCCTCCAGAGGGGATTAATGTCCAAAACAACAACCAAAACAACACTAATTCATCTCAGTCTTCTCTAACAAACAAAAAGAGTCAAAATAAAATAAAGGTTTTTGTACCTAAACCAAAAACAGAAAAAAGTGGAGAAAGAAAGTTGCTGTCAATGGTGTGATGTAATCTACCTGTTCAAGCAGGATGCAGTAGTCTCTTCCATTAGGCTAATCACAAGGCCTGTTTGCATCTTGGCTGTGTGCTGATGATGTGGTTTTTCTGGCCATGGTGCGGAATTGCACAGAAAATGGCGGATTTCTCCCTCCAGGTTGGGAGTGAGTTGCTAATCCAAGTGAAGGAATTTAAGTAACTCAGGGTCTTGTTCATGAGTGAGGGTAAAAGGAGCTGAGCTGAAAGGCAAAGCTCTCAATTTACCACTCAGTCTACGCCCCAACCCTTACCTATGGTCATGAGCTGTGGGTAGTGACCGAAAGAATGATAGCGCAAATACAAGTGGCCTTAGGTCCAGTCACCCTGCAAAGGGTGGCTGGACCTAACCGTAGAGACAAGGTTCGGACATCCAGAAGGGGCTCGGAGTAGAACCATTCCTCCTTCACATCAAAAGAAGCCAGTTGAGGTGGTTGGAGCACCTTATCAGTATGCCTCCAGGCCGCCTCCCTTTGGAGATCTTCTGGGCATGTCCAACTGGAAGACTCAAAACATGCTGGAGAGATTATATGTCTCATCTGGTCTGGGAATGCCTTAGAATTCCACCAGAGGAGCTAGAAAACGTTGCCGGGAAGAGCAATGTCTGGACTACCTTTCTGAGCCTTTTGCCACCATGACCCAATCTTGGATAAGCAGAAGAAAATGGATGGATGGATGAATAGTAATTAATTCCATTAAATTCAAAGCTTGGACAAAAGTGAAAAGCTTTTTTTGTGACATTATCATTGCATTTCTTTTTTACATTATCAACATGGTTTCTGGGCAGGTCAGTGTCTTATTAGTTAGAGGGTGTTGGGCTGAAATCTGCTGGCTAGCTGTGAAATCTCTGTGGAGTGTGTTTGCACTGTTTGTGTCTGCTAAGGATTCTTACTGGTGTTTCTTTCCTCAGTCAAAAGACATGCTGGTTAAAGGACTCATCACACATAGATTCTGTGAGTTAGAGTTTAGCTGTGGTGAACTTCGACACCTAGTCTGCACCACTGATTAATAGCATGCTGTCTTGACAATGCTGACCTGTGAGGGGGCGGAGAGCTGGAGAGTCCAACACAGAGGTTTGCAAACATTTAGGAAACAGGAGCTGATGTTACAAATGCATCTTTTGCATAAAGTCCATCATCTTGGCTTGTTAGCAAGCACTAAGCTGGTTCGCATGCTTGGTATTACACAAACCTTTGCTTTTCTCTTCAGTGAATTTTTATTGAACAAATTGGTGTGCAGTGGTGAGCAAATGTCACTTTGTGGTGTGATAACTGCTTTAGCCCTGTGAGAGAGAAACAGCGTATGGAGGGTGTATACAAGCTTTTGACCAATGTGTGCTCCAGGCGCAGGCAACCCTGCATAGCATAAAACAGGACAGAAGAAGGTCGACAAGAAAAAACAGGATTTGTTAAGACACAAAAACAATGAGCAAGAAGAATTAGAATCAATTTAAATGATACCAGATTTTTTACATAGAGCTTTTCAGTGGTTCAAGCACATCAGACTATGTTCTGTTTCTTGTCTGGGGAGTCTTCTGCCTTTCTTTGATTCTATAAATGATACATGATGTACATGTAAGGCGTTTTTCATGGTGAAGGAAAAGAAACATAAGTGCTAAGTTGAATGTGCTGAAAAGGAGCATGGTGATGAAGTTTTGGTGTGTGTAGGCTGCAGCTCAGGGCTTTTCTGTAGCGTACAGCTGGTCAACAGGGCAAGTTGGCTTTTGTGTATGTTTGCGCCTGCTTGAGTGTGTGTATGTGTGTAGGCGAGTTCCTCGGGTTGTAGCTAGCTGTCGGTCAGCAGGGCATGTGGCTCTGATGTGAAATTGCCAACGGTTACTATGGCAGCGGGAAGGGAAACAAAAGCTTAGTGCTCCTGGAGTAAGGGAACGAAGGAGGAGGAGAAAAGAGGCCCAAACCTTTTCTTGGATATTATCCACAGCTTGCTGTTTCTGGCACACGCACGACTTTCTCACTTTCTCTCATCCCCTCCTGTTAGCTTTGTTTTCTCTCTCCTCCTTTCTTTGATTGTCTTTCTCATTTGTCACCAGTCTTCCCCTTTCTGTCTGCTGTCTCACTTTCTGTCTATCTTCGTCTGTCTTGTGAGCTAGAGGTGTGACAAGCAGCTGAGTCCATCTGGGGAAAGAAAGAGAGAGATGGGGATAGGGTAAGAGTGTGTGTGTGTGAAAAGGAGATGAGAAAAGCAAGGGGGAGAAAGGATGAGGAGAAGACTGGCAAAAAAAGAAGAAGTAAACAAGGAAGATGAAGAAAACTGATGGAAAAATATAACAGTGGCTAAACGGTGTTAAAGAGGCTTTAAAGAACATGATAGGCCTATAGAAATATGGATCTTAGCTATGTAAATAAAGTGGCACCCAGTTAGCACACTACTCAGGCTGTTATTTAAATCCTTTAGATTTTTTTCTCTCTCTCCAAATGCAAGGCCCTCGTGCTAATCTCGACACGTGTTGTGGACACAGATACAGCCCAGTAACACTGCAAGTGAGAACTAACATGCCATGTGCACAGTAAAGATGCTAAAATCAGTGGGGTATAAAATTACATCTTAGGCAGTGTTCTAGTGGAAAGTGCAGCCTTAAAAAAGTCTTATGACATCAATTCCTGGATCAATTTTTGCCATACTGAAAGTTTGCAATGACATTTTTGCTTTATTATACACATTTTTATGAAGCAAGGAAAGTTATCTTAGTGACAAGGTCTTTCACTAAGGTCATCACCTGAACTCTCACCAGAACATTTTGGATTAGTGATATAACAAATTGGTTTAAATTAAATCAGCCAGGCTGATATACTGTCTGATATTAATTTAGGTCAGATACACTGGTATTGATGCCAAACTAGATTTGAGGCTATTTAGAAACATTACATATTATGTCTACCAAACAGCACTGGCACCTTGATTTTTCAGCTATAAAATGTAGATATGTACTGTATCTTAGTCACAATTTTAAGTAATCAAATCAATGTCCAAAAGTCCAAAAATGTAAATAACCTGGTCAGTATATTGTTATCTAAGGTTTGTTTAAAGTTCTATGTATTGATCAGTATCAGCCACGAAAATGTAGTATAATTCAAATACTAAATTTATTGGATTGGATTACTGAAGCTGCTCTAATCAATATTTTTATAGTCACAGTGACTGATAATGTATAATGTTAAAAGAGTCACTTATAGTGACCAAATGACAAATTTTTATCACTCCACTTCGGAGTTAACCTCAGCTGTACAGCACATTTTAGTGTCTTTTCAGCCATTGTTTTGGTCTTTTGGCCTGCAAAGTTACTGCTTTGATTCATATTTGTGTTCAAAGCTTGTTGCGTTGTGATGCCCCCAAGTGACAAAAATGAGATTTTAATCTGAAGTTCAGGAGCCACACCTCGACACACTTCTTCCTCCAACCACAGTATTTAAGCCACCTGTCCACACTAGTCTTCCTTATCTGCTTTATGTAATCCTCTCTCTCTCTCTCTCTCTCTCTCTCTCTCTCTCTCTCTTCTAAAACGCTGTTCCTGTTCCTCTCTACTGCTTTGTTTCAGCCATAGCAGATATGACACTGAAGAAAAACCCAAGGTTCGACAAAACAAAAGCCTCTCTCTCTCTCTCTCTCTCTCTCTCTCTCTCTCTGTGTACATATATATATATATATATATATATATACACATTTTTTTACTCAAGAGGGTCCACCAAGTCCGGGAACAGCATGGGCCTGTGAAGCCTTCCCCCAAACCACAGTCACATAGCACAACCTCAGTTACATGAGGATTCATATTCTCATATCCAGTGATTGACTCCGGAGGTGTGGTCCTTGCTAGTGAAATTAATTTCAATTCCTGCTATTGAAACACTGTAACTGTCATTATTTTGCAATTATGTTTGTTTTGGTGATGTAGGTTTGTCCAAGTGGTTCCATTTTAGCAGCAACTCATGCTTAAGTTTTTGCAACTGCTCTTAGCATTTAACTGTTTGTCTGTGGTGTCTGTCTGTTTTTCCCTGGGTTCTTGAACAGAAAGAAAAAACATCCTTGTAAACACAGACACAAAGTTCACATCCATGCCACTCCAACAGTTACTTGAAACAGTTTTGGTTAATTTCCATAGCCTGCTGAGCCAAGTTCAAATCCACAGCGACACAAATATGAGACATGCACTTCAGCCTGCCAGGCTTTCATGATGCCACAGTAAGATCGGTTTTTAAGCTTCAAAGTGCAGCCATTTTCCTCTGCTCTCTTGCCATGCATCAGACAGATGGATAAGGCATGAAATTAAAACCCTTTTCCCCTCTAAAGTAGGTCTGCAGCTTCTATCATTTCAGCTCTTTGTCAGTAACCATGTCCAGAGAGATGTCAAATATTTTGGGTAAAGTAATTCTGGCATATTCTAATGGCATATAAAAGTTACATTTTATAGTGGTACCCTGTGTTTGTACAATTATTTGACACTGTATTCAAAAGAAAAACAAATTCATGTTAAACAACAGTGGAGATTTTTCAGCTGCCTTGACACATTAATCAGGACAAAGTGATATATTTTCTACCAGGACCCAGTGCATAAAATAGATAGATAGATAGATATGTCAACCTCTTTGTGGGACCAAAGAAGAAGTCATCATTGAAGTCAATAGAACTGGATACCACAAATGTCTGTACAAAGTTTCATGTCAGTCCATGGGAGAGTTTGATCTGGATCAACATGCCGAACTGATCAATCAGATGGTCAAACTAACATTACCACCTTTAGAGCCATGCTGCTAGCTTGGCTGAAATAGGTATGGGGAACATCCGTAGCTCTGAAGTAACATTAGTGTTGAATTTTTTGTGTGCGAATTAGTTCAGATCAACTCATTTAAATGTACGAACACATCTTCAGACACTGAAACAAAAAACAATGTCTCATGCCTTGTATAGTGCAAGACAATAAAAAAATGTACAGTATTAAAAAATTTGTATGCACTCTAATTCAAAAGTGCACTGACCTTGTCTAATGTTGGATAAATACACTATGTGGTGAGTTAGAGCACGGCTATGAGAATTAGTCATCCAAACTCCTGTTTTAGAGAGCCCAGAGCTCTTACATACACATAATCTGATCTGTCTGTGTGGCTGTTTTTTGGGGCCATGAAAACTCTTCACTTGTAATACCTCAAAGGTGGACCCACATGGGAAACATAGTTGAGAATGACAAAAAAATTAAACTAGACAGCACTCAGAGAGTGCAAACCATTGCCAAGACAGTTCATTTTCCCCTAAATGCCATTACACCTAAAAGCAATATTCCCACGATACCTTGACCCTCATAATATGATTGCTTGACCATGAAAACTATCTGTAACATTTAGAATTACACTGATATCATTATTAGTTTGCGATACCTTGACCCTCATAATATGATTGCTTGACCATGAAAACTATCTGTAACATTTAGAATTACACTGATATCATTATTAGTTTGAAAGTTTTTTAAGAAAAATGATAGACATGAGCAATTACTAAAAGGCAAAAAAAGTCCCGTGCAGACTGGCATAACAGTGTATACCTACAGTCCTTCATAGATGCACACAGCTCACACTCACTGAATGCATGCAAGTCCACTTTAGAGTCAACAACCTTTCCAGCACTCAATGATGACGAATCCTTTAAAAAATGTTGGATCCTGACGATGATCTAGATCAACATGAAAATGTAAATCGTCATCAAAATTCATTCATTACTTTTTCAGTTATGCTGTGAAAACATCCAACAAACAGCGGCAAAAACATGGGTTAAAACTTCAATCTTCTCTAACATTTTTGTAATTCTGTTGAATGAAATGACTATGTCACAGTACATGAAGGGGTTAATCACAGTGCTGCACTTAAAAGAAACTGTCAGACAATTTTACTGAGGTTTTGGCCTTTTTAAGATTTTCATTTTGGTTTTTAAGTACATTTATTGAGCATCACCAGTGTACTTTCAACAAACCCTGTTTCAAGCAGCTGCTGTTTTCAACTAAAATGGTCTGTTAAGCTCCCCAGCTTCAGTTCTCCATTCCTGTCTCTGCACTCTCCAGCTCTCTGTTCCCGTTTCTGCATCCTCCACCTCTCTGTTCCCCCTCCCAAGCAGGTCAGCCAGCACATCGACACCACCTCTGTTCTTGTCCTTGAGTGGGTAGGCCGGTACACCAACGCCGCCTCTGTTCCTGTCCCTCAGCATGACCGTAACAACATCCCCACTGAGTAAGAGGTCCCCAGGTGTGCTGACAACAACGTCCCCGCCAGGGTCCAAGGGCCTCAGAAAGCCGACAAGGAGACACCAGCTGAGATCCCTGTCCGCGTTCCTGAGTGGGTTAGCATTTGCATCTGCTCCTGTTCCTAAGCGGGTCGACTGGATTGCCGATGCCACCTTTGAGCCCGTTCCTGAGCGGGTTGGCTACACTGCCGGTGCTGCCACACGATTGTTCCTGAGTGTGCTGGCTGGACTGCCGATGCTGCCTTCCCCTCTGCCACTAAGCTGGACCATGAAGACATTCCCACTGAGATCAAAATCCCCGGGTGTGCCAACATCCCCACCAGGGTCCAAGATCAGAATGAGGATGAGGAAATGCTGACTGAGTTGTCTGTTCCCGTCTCCGAGCGGCTCGACTGGGATGCCAATGGCGCCTCCATCCCTGTCCCTTGGCCAGGTAGTGCAGACGTCCCTGCTGAGACTGAGACCCCCAGGTGTGCCGATGAGAGCATCCCCGCCAAGGTCCCAGATCCGCATTGTCCTGATGAGGACACACCAGCTGAGGTCTCAGCTCCTGTTCCTGAGCAGATCAGTTGGACCACTTTTTCTCCCCGGATTCCCTGTCTTTCCCTGCCTGTCATGTCCTTAGCCAGCACAATCACTCATCATCATGTCCACCTGCTGCTCATTACCTCCTGGTTCAGCTCCCCATATATACACACCCCTTTTCTATTTGCTCCCCACCGGTTCATTGCCTACACTCACCAGCTATATGACCTGCTAACCGACGTTCCAGCTCTCCATTCCCCACTCCTGTGTTCTCCACTCCCCAGCTTCAGTTCTCCATTCCTGTCTCTGCACTCTCCAGCTCTCCACTCCCTAGCTCCAGCTCTCCATTCTCATTTCCTCACTCTTCAGCTCTCCACTTCAGCTCTCTGTTCCCAGCTTCGCACTCGCCAGCTCTTCGTGTTCCCTGGCTCTGCACTATTCAGTTCTGCACTCCCAGGTACTCCACTTGCTCTCCCCAACATCACGCTGCCTGCCTGCTTCGTCCCCTGTACAACACTGTCTACCAGCCTAGTCTCCCGCTTCATGCTGCCTGGCTGCCTTGCCTCCTGTCAGCCCAACAAAGCCTGCCTGTTCCATCCAGAACCTGCTCTGCCTCTGTTCCCCTTTCTCCTCCACTCGGTAACCCGTTCCTTGTTTATTTAATAAACTCCCTTTTGTTACACCCCTATGTGTGTCTGCATATTGGATCCACCTGTACCTGCCGTCCTAACAAAATATTGCAGCAGTAGCAGTTACTGGATGGCTTGTCATAAAATTTTGTACAGATGTTCATGTTCCCAGTTGATGAATCTTACTTAGGTGATCCCCAGCCTTTTGCTGTAGTGCTACTATGAGGTGGATTTTGGTGAAATACCTCAACAACTGCTGGATGGATTGGCATGACATTTGGTATTGTATACACATTCATGTTATTGTCAGGATGAACTCTAATAACCGCTATGATTCCCAGATTTTTCAGCTACATTAGCACCACCATCAGGTTAGACTTTCAATATCCTAATAATCTGATTTATCACCAAATAGGCTTACCTGGAGAATTATTGACATTTCCATCATCTTTAGCTTTACTTTCTATTTTGTGGTAATTAGTAGCAAATGCTCACCGTTTCACTAGATGCACTATTTGGTTTGCATGTGGGTTAAGTTATTTTTTAAAAATCTCTCTCTCTCCCCTTGTCTTTTAGCTCAGCCGCACTGAAACAGCTGTGAACAACCTGAACCCGGTGTTTGGAGTGAAGTTTCAGGTTGACTACCACTTTGAGGAGATCCAGAAGCTTCGCTTTGCCATGTTTGATGAAGACAAGTGTGCCACACAGCTCTATGAACATGACTTCCTGGGAGAGTTCATTTGCACCCTGGGAGTGGTAAGGAATAATTTCACTTTTTTCTGTCCAGAGGTGGTTCTGTATTAAATGGCATGACACTGTATTAAACTAGAGTGAACAGATTCAGGTGAAGGATTACAGACTATATTTTGTGGTAGAATAGACTAGAGTGAAGGCCTTTATGGTTCAAACGTATTTCTTTAGCTGTATGTTTTGTCTCATCAACTCCTAAATGTTTTCTGTATTTTGTCCTGTATTAACTGTCCACTAGATTTTATCCAACAAAAAACTTCACAGACCACTGATCCTAGCCAATGGAAAGCCAGCTGGCAAAGGATCCATTACGGTAAGAATCAATACTCTCTATATCTTAAATTCTATTTCTTTGTCTCTCCCACTGACACACAAACACACTGTAGCACATCATCCGACATTGCTGCTGTTGGTCACGTGGATGCAGTTGCTATGGTTTACTTTAATGACATAGTTT